AGTGAAGTCAAGTTAGGCACCTTTTTTAAACAGAAAAATTAGCATCTCAAATTTTAGTGAGTTTAGGAGACAAGTGTAACACAGTCACATTTATCAGCATTTAGCGTGTTCTGTAACACACACATATGAAAGATTTAGAAATATCTGTAACTGTATATCCTACAGGTTACATTAATTATCTGTATTTGTTATACATTTTAATGTGTTAAAACATAACGTGGGACCTGTTTACGTGATTTAGTACACACAGATGCTTTTAAACACCTCTTTTGTTTTATAGTGCTTAATAACTTTTCCTGTCTTTGTGTGCTGGTGAATACAGATTCCTCATGGCTACAGCTGGACACATGTGTTTGAGGAAGCTCTATTCCTTCAATATCCCTCAAACGAGCTAGCATTCAAAACAAGGAAAGTGTGCCTTGTCTTCACTCAGTGTGTGTATCTTACTTTCCCCCTATATTTGTAGACATTCAATACATAGTAGAAGAGCTATTTCAAGAGATAATAGTGACAGAAAAGAGAATCCCAACAAAATTGGACAAAAAGTCACCTAAACAGCAGAGCTGGGCACGACTTACTGACACATTCCATTTATGAGAATCAGAAAATAGAGGGCAATCGGTAACCTGGTATGGACAGAATTATGTTAAAATCTTTATGTCTTTGCTGCAGTTAGGAAAGGGTGTGTTATGCCAGGCTTCCTCAAACTCGACCCTCCAGATGTTTTGAGACTACAATTCCCATCATCCCTGACACTGGTCCTGCTAGCTAGGGATGATGGGAGTTGTAGACCAAAAACATCTGGAGGGCTGAGTTTGAGGAAGCCTTCATTATGCTGTGCTAGCACAACACACTATTCACTGTTACAGTAACAAGATTGGGTGGCTGTTAAAGTTGCTAATTCTTACTAATCTGGTTTCCCAGGGCCCAAAGCCTGGTTGCTATGCCTCTCTAACTCTTATGAGGCCTGTTGGAAGTAAAACTGATAGATTATAAATATGTTTTTGATTAAAGGAATATACATTTTTATGTATTTTAAAATATTTCAAATGCTCTTCATCAAAAGATTCCTGGGCAGTGTAAATAAAAATAATTCACGGAACATATAGATTAAAACCAACGAATAAGCATAAAAAACAAGGCAAAACTAAAAACCCAAAGCTAAACCCAAAACTGTCCCAATATTATACAGACTACAATAATCTACAAATTTGTGAGGCAAATAGGAAGGTCTTCAGCTGGTGTCAAAAAAACCACACCATGCCTTCTTAGGGAGGACATTCCAAAGTCGAGTTGCCACCTCAGAAAACTCTTGCTGTCACTTAGAGGAGAGGTGTTTCGGCCATCTTTTCTCTTTAGCGTAAATTTTGCCCAATGAGTTACATTCAACAATGTTATGGAACTCCATTTCCTAATCATCTAACCTCTAGGTTCCTCCAGAAGGAGAGGTAGTAGCTATACCCTCAAGAACTGTTAATTTGGTAAAAAGTTGGGTTTTTCCTAACAGCATAATGCCACACAAGTCTACCCAGAAGTAAGCCCCCTCCCCTTTGTGCAGGGGTGCTTGCTTCTAGTTAAGAATGCTGCCCAAGCACCTACATTGGGTGTAGGGAACCTTTGGCCCTTCTGATGTTGCTGAACTACAACTCCCATCATCCCTGGCCTTTGTTGTAGTTCAGTAACATCAGGAGGGCCAAAGTTTTCCCTTTCCCTGGCCTAGTATTTAGGATATAAGTGCTTACTTGAGGACTGATAGCTAACAAAAAGATACCATTATTAATGTTTAACAAGAGCACTTTATGGTAATATTTCATTTTCATATCTGAATCAAAGTATTAGTTTTGGCATTGTTCCTCTTGTTTCTGAATAGGGGGGTAGTTACCCATCCAAATGACTTAATTTAGACATAGATTATCTTGGAGGAAGTTTGAGCCAGTATGTGTTGGGGAAACAATAACCGCTATATATTGAAACCTATAGTCTTTTTGGCTACCTGCCATTCTGACTTAAGGGTTTCCTTACAAGTTCAGAAATCCATCTCTGTCCTTTGTAATACATAATATCGAGAAACCACACATTTAAAAGAATGTGGTAAAGACTTTCATAACAAAATTGTACTGTGCATATGTGAGAGAGTACCTTGTCCGCTATAGCTTATCAAGATCTTTATGCTTTCCTGAGAGCAGCTAAAGGGGTCCGAGTAAAAAAATGAGTAACAACGATACATAGCAAAGCATTACAGAAACACAATGACATAGCCCTGAAGAGCAAAACATAATTCCTTTCATGACACCATCAGGTTACAGTACAGATATTAAGAGTCTGTGAGGTAATGATGAATTTAGGAACTTCCAGGTGGCTGATGATGTGATAGACCCTTTCATGGCAGACATTTTGCACAGTCATTTAATCAAATGATAAATGCAGTTACCACATGATTGCAGCAAGGTTCATCATAAATCTGGAGAAAGTTTAGACAGTTTTTGTACCAATCAGAGCTGCACTTACCCAGGAACAAGTTGAATGACTCCAGGGAGGTGCCCTTTGGACAAGGTAAATGCTTGAGCAGTGACAGAATGACATGTGAAAGTGGTGGTTTGCAAATTCTGTATTTTGGTTGTACATTAGCACACAGTTGGCATTAAAAGTACCTGCAGATTTGCACCAGTTTTAGGTACCCCTTCCATGCTGCCCCACCATTCTGGGAACTTCTTGCACGTGGTGCAATCATTTATTTATTTTTAAAAAACACCTTAATGGAAAAAAACAAAGAGGTATGCTACTGCCACTGCTAACAGCCCCTTCCATAATAAACTGTTGCAAGAATTTCTACTCCGACTAGTGAAAATTCCATGAAATGTCCTCCCAGTTTCTCTCCCAAATATAACAGGTATCCGGATTCCCAAGCAAGCTGATAATTCCACCAGAAAGATCCATGTGATGCCCACATTGTCACCTTGTTCACACACGTATTCACTGTGGGATTGCATCTCGTGGAAGCAGCTTTGAGGTTGCTGGGAGAATGTGGGGCCAAAGCCAATGATACTCAAATTTATTCAGGAAATTTGAAAAATGAATCTCTTGGCCCCAATATGAGGAGTATAATTAGCATTCATAGGTTCTCAGCTGCTCTTCGTTCTCAGTCCTAAACTAACTACAGATCACTCTTCTTTATAGTGGGTCCCAAGAAGTTTTGGCGGCTATTTTTATTTATTTTTTTACACTCCCTACCAGGCTCTTTAAATGAGACTTTTGAGGTTGGAGAAGCACTTCAGAAATTGTTTTCTCCCACTTTGTCACAATGAAGTGGGAGGAAACTTATGTTCAGCGTAAGTACCTGAAATGGCTGCTGGTATTCTTTGCTTCACATTTCCCCTCTCAATCTCTGATTCAAAACGTGCTCTGAAAACACTAAAAGGAAAATAACCCATAAAGGACATTGTGCTGGAATTCAAGCTATGCTTTCCCTCTGTCTAGCAGAAGAGTCTGCTTAGGTCTCAGCCCACAAAGGAAGACGATAATCCCGCTAATGATGGGAACATAAGGCATAAAGCTTGGTCAGAAATTTGCTATAGTTTTCAACAACTCCTTGGAGTCTTTCCCCAGACTGGAATCATTTAAAGCAATCAGTGCCCCTCCCCCACCCTATATACTATCTCGACTGGTGGACATATTGGAAACCTTTAAGTTTAAACAAGAAGCTTGAGAATAGCTCCAGCAGGTGAACAACAAGAGACCTGTACATTTAGAGGGCTTCTGCTAATGGCTGTTTTGCAAAACAACAATGACCAGCAGAAACACTTTTATCTCTGGTATATAGGTATATTCTGAAACAAAAAGAATATTCCTCACAATATATTGCAAACCTATAATATTTTCCTTTAGTAATAAGGCATCCAGCCAACTGCTTTAATTCTATGGCAATATTGCTGTACTTATTTGTTTCCCTCTAACAAAGCTGGAAATATTCTATAGCTTTAATATTTCTTTAGAACTTTTTTATATTCTCCATCACAGAGAAGTAAAAGCCTATAAATTTAAATTAAAGGGAGTTGCAGTTAAGTTGGTTAAGCACTTTGAGTTTGTTTGCTTTTAAAATAGAAAGGATTTTAAATTAATATTACACACACAGTAATTTTGGCATGCACGGATGATTTATTACTCTAAATTTTACCACTCAGCAGTTTTTGCATACATATTTCTTAGCTCCCTGTCATCTCGTAACATTTAATGCAGTTGTCTTTTTAATACACCTGCTTTTTTCATATCCTCTCTCATGCTAATATTAGATTGTATTTATTACCAATGTATTAAGTGGCAACATTAACAAATATTTAGGGCAGGACCTCTTCCACATCTGTCAAATAGATTTATACTGAAAGCTTTTAGACCTTTTCCTCCCCACACCACCCCCCAAAAAAGTTGCTTGAGTGATATCATAAACAAAATACAGCAAGATATGCAGAATCACATGTGCTAAATATTCTCTCTAAACAGAATCTTAGCAAAAAATGAAGTGGTTTTGATTGTGCATCTTGGAACAAAGGAACTCAAAAAGTTGTGATTACACTTAAGTTCTTAAAGGCAAGAAGGACAAAAGAAAACTAAAAACCAACTGTCAATGGTACAAGCCACATGGGTAACAAAAAGTGTAGAACTTGGATTCAGAGACAGTTTGGAACAGGAGGGAGAGGAAGGGTGCTCCCTCCTCCTTGTTTCTTCTTGAAAAATAAAGGGCTCAGAAATGAGCCTTACTGGCAGGCAGATAACTTGCAGGCCCTGACCCTTTGACTCACCAGGAATTCAAACACAAAGCTCTTTTCATAGTGACTGTCCTATACATTCTCAAGATAAGGCGGCAAAATAAGTCCTAGCAGAGGACTGCACAAAGCAGAGACTATGTAAACTGCTGCTCAGTCTAGATTGTTGTTTCTTTTCTTAGCAGATGTTGATGTACACCTGGGAGTGTTTATGCATCTACTCCCACCCCCCACCCTGCAACACACACACACACACACACACACACACACACACACACACCCCTCATTTGGTTCTGAACAAGAAACTGCATGCTGATAATTTAGGAATCATATTCTCTCTCTCTCTCTCTCTCTCTCTGTGTGTGTGTGTGTGTGTGTGTGTGTTCAGTAATGTGCAAGAATGAAGGCAGACATTGTACAGTTCAGAAACAAATCTTTCAGCAAGATCAACTCTTCATCCTCACCCACCCTTCAAAAAAATTCATGCACACTCAGAAAATTGGGTACATTTAAAAACTAAGTTTTCAAATATTGACTCACCGTCAGAAAGCAACAGTTGCCTGGAGTTACTGGGTACTTTCTGCCCTGCTCCATTGCACATTTCCCCAAAGGCTGTCCGGAGCTTAATAGCTCAAAGCTGCCACACAGAGGCCCCTTCAGTGAGATGGCTTATTTGCCTGTCAGCCTGAATCCCAGTTTCTGCACTGTGCAGCAGTGCACTTTGCTGAAATCTTAGTATCCTTTCCACAAACTTCTGCAGTTTCCCGGAGTACGGAGCTGTCTCTCGGCAAGCTCCTTAAATACTTATTTCGCTTTTCCATTGCAGGGATAAAGGCTTAAAGATGTTAGCATGCTAGTTTAAAAGTTCTTTAGCAAGTAGTGGGTGGAGAGAACGCAGTTCAGAACAAGGAAACTGCGCATAATCAGAACTTGGAGAACTTCCTCCCTTCTTCCCTCCTCCCCCAACCCCAGCTCAGCTAAGCTGCCACTGCTCCTTCATAGAAGTTAGGAATGTAAAGGGAGGACTCAAAGAGGCCCAGTCAGACAAACCTTTCTCAATCAATTAGCTTGCAACCATTACTTGTGACCCAGGGTCACACAGCATAAGTGTGTGGGGTGTGCCTTGAGGAGGACCAAAGTTGCTTATTAAAACTTACATAACCCAAAGTGTTCTAAAAAAGAAAATCAAATACAACTTGCAAGCTGGAGGGGGGAGGTGATTTCCCAATACTGCAATTCCACAGGAAGCACACACAATTTGGCTTGGAGAAAGGCGAAATACTTTCTGCTATCCCAAATCCAAGCGATGCTGTAAAAATATTATTTGAGTATGTTTTCTTTATTTTACAAGTGAGCCCAATTCCGTGTTTACTTGGCAATCAAGCAACTGTTGCAATTAGAAGAGGAAAACTATGCACATCTTTAAATTGTTTTTAATTTGTACCTGTTTTTGCAGAGACTCTATTAATTAATACTACTATTTTATTCACCAGTTTACATTGTTTAGGCTAAAATTCCACCATCCCAAGAATCCAACAGTTCATTCCAGAACGCCACCGAAATCACTACGACAAGAAATGCAAACTCTCCACCAACACTTGAGCTAAGGTGGGGCACTTTATCTGCTAAAATATATGGGATGAGTGGATGTTGCTTACAGAAGTTCCCACACTTCAAATATACACCCCTTGGTGTGAAAAGATGACTTCAAAAAGAGATTCAACTTCATATCCTGCTAGTCCAGTGACAAGGATACGTTGCACTGGAAAAAGCATGAGAGCTCCCTGATTTCAAAAGCAGATCCATGACTCCTTTTGCAGGGGCAGACAAGATCAATGCACCATGGGGGCTATGTGCTTTTATCTCAGTCCCCAGCTGAACTTCCAGTTCAACTAATCAAGACTCGTTCCAAATTAAGATAAAAATTCAGAAAAAAACCCTTTCCAGTGTAAAAGATACACAGATGCAAGAGGCTGGCAACATGAACGTAGAAAACATACAGTGGCAGCACAAATGTAAAGCACAAAGGTAATCCTTCTACTGAGGGGTTAAAAACATTTATTTAGCATTTCAGCAGAACCAGGGCAAAACGTGCTGCTAAGACTTTCCCACTATTTGTTTTTTAAAAAATATATATAATTTTTATTAACAGGCCAATCAAATCATATTAATTCTAAATCACATTAGTTCCAAATTATACAGCCAGATTTTTAAATTTTTGTTGGGGGTACCCATACTTCAAGCTCCGAAAGGGGTCCAAACATCACTCTTGTTGCTACTTTAATTAAACAGTTCTATCCAGATAGTCTCTTTGTTACTTTCCTCATCTTCTTGTTGTTATCATATATTCCTTTCTTTGCGATCTCTGATAATCTTCACAAGCGGGTTGAAAACAAACATCCTCTGTGTGGGTTTTACACTCTCCAAAAATCATATCACATAAAGGACAGACACCATTTCCACACCTCCGTAAAGAACATTCCCTCAGTCTGTCCGTTGATTTCCCCAGGCTTGCCAAACATATCTCAGGGAGCTCTGCCAGGTCAAGATCACATTCCGATAACCATACATTCACATTCCGATGACCCTGGTCCTCCTCCCCCTCGTCCTTCTATGGGCAAGCCTGTCTTAGCGAAACGCCATTTGTAACTGCGTCATAAAACTTTCTTTCCGTTCCCCGATGTTTCTACCAGTCCTCTCTTTGATCAGTAATTCATTTCCACACAGTTCTTGATCTCCTGCTTGTGATTAATAATTTGCAACGATTCTTCTCTCTGGAGGGGAGGGTTATTAGTACTCACATAAGACAAAAAAAAGAAGTTTTTTCCTCCCCCCCTTTCCGTTTCACTCCAACATACCAGTCTTTTAATGATGATTCTTCACTTGATTTATTGTCAGCCCGTCGCTCCGCTCACAGAGATCCATTAATCAGCAGTCTTTACTCCCGATCTTCACTTGATGTATGTGCATTAGCTTCTTTCCAATTATATATTTCCAATTATATATTTCGAGCTAATGCGAACCAGTGCGCGAATTAGAGACAGCGTCAGGGAAAGCCGGCCTCACTTGAGGGCTTCGTGCCAAGTGCCCACACCCCCCTTCTTTCGAATTCGGGGGTGAATTATGGACACAGCTGGCAAGGCAGTCCCCCCATTCCCTTGGGGGGGTAAGGGAGGCTGCATACTCCCATATCAGCCTCTTAATTACCTCGCATGGGTCGGAGAGATGTTATTGTCAGCCATCTTCCACTGCGCCCCCTGGTGGCCCCAAGACTTTCCCACTATTTGGTGCAGATCCTCCATCTGCCTAATTATCTGAGATTTGTAGATCCTGTATTGCCTATAGTACATATAGTTATACCTCATCACTCTTGTTGATCTAACAGAGCCTTCACACACTTGCTCCTTTCCAGATATTTTGGGATGTAACGTCCATTAGCCCATCCAAAGCGTCAGGATGGCCCTAGGTTGGCAAAGGCTGGTGTATCTAGGGATGGGAGAGAAATTTGATTCAGACAAACCTACCTAATTTGATCTTTCCAAAACACACAAACCAAAACAGAGCCATTCATTGAAATTCACACTTCTCTGAATTTTGCAATGCAGTTCTCCAGTCAAGTGGAACGTACAAAAAGTGCATATTGTAAAGTGTGTGTAAAAATAAATATAATCACAAAAAGAACATACAAAAGTGCATTATATCAGGGAAGATTGCTTTGCAAAAGTGTGTGTATCAGGCAAAATTGCATGCAAATGTATTAGGAGACATTCACACCAAAATATTTGTGAGTTTCCATGAAGGCTTAAAAACACCCTGACGTGTACATGTAAAGAACTGAATTTAGGATTGGAAAAATGAGAACGTGAGAGAAACCCAAACTTACAGATCCACCCATCCTTAGGTCTAACTGATATCATATGTTTATTTAGTTCTTAAAGTTGAACAAGTCTAAAATGGTCTTCATATCTATAAAACACAATCAGATACGTGCTGAAAGTGTAAAGAAGTGGAGAGAAAAAGGTGAAAGTATATTGGGAAATGATTTATAATGAGTTGAAAAAAAATGTTTAAAATAACTTCCCCAAAAAACCCCAGAGTCCTTTTTATTGGGAATAACCCAAACAGAAATTCATAAGTGTCAGAAAAGGTTATTTATGTATGCAACAAATGTGGCCCATGTTTTGTTAGCCCCAAAATAGAAAGTGAGTGAGGTCCCAACCAAAGAGGATTGGCAACTTAAGTTGACAGAATATGCAGAACTTGCATATTTAACACATAGAATAAGAGAGCAAGAAGAACATATATTTAAACAAGAGTGGAAAACATTTATTTGAATATATGGAAAATAATGGTACACAGCTGAAAATGCTGGCAGCATTAAGATAAATTCAACAGTAAAGAATTTTTGACTGATGTAAAAGTGAAAAACTGATCTGAATGGTTACAGTAAAATATCCAGGAATGTGTGATATGTATAATGAACCATGGAAGAGGAAGAAAGGATGCCATTGGATATTTTACAGTTTGTAAAATGTTTATTCGGAAATGTAAAATTGAAAACTTAATAAAAATTATTATATATTAAAAAACTGGTCTTCATATGTGCCTGTTACAGGACCTGTCAATGGGGCACCCACAGAGTTAGCTACAAGGCTGCTTTTCCCAACTAAAAGTAGGCTTAAAAGCACTCTTTGTAGCCAATGGATGGAGTATGTTGCAGTGTGTGCTTGGTTCCGCTGTCTGTGCATTTATGGTGCCTGTTATGGTTTCTCCAGTTTGCCTAGGTGCCCACAGCCCCCAAAAGTTGGGCAAGCCTTGGCTACTGGATAACCCCATGCTGACTAATATGCTCCTTCATTATCAGTGCAATTTTCATTTTATTTTAACAATTAAAGTATGAAAACATTGGTGGTCATACATCAATTTGCAGAGGGGAGGGGCAGGGAGTGAGACTAGGGCTATAATCTTGAACACACTTACTAGAGAATAAGCACAATTAAGGACAACTGAGATTTCCTTCTAATCCATAGAATTATGTTGCAACTCCACTCTCAGCAATGCCCTACCACGGAGCATATTTTCCAAGTTGTCCTCAGGTTTGAAACAAGGTCAAGGCTAGTAGGTGGCGGCAGTGGGGGGGGTCAATTATCATGAAAAGTGAAATGGAGGCTTCCCAATAGCCTAGAAGCATTTGCACATTCAGAAAGCACTCAATACACTGTCACATTATGATATCTGAATTGTTATGTTATGTCATTATTCCATCATGCTGAACACATGATCCCTGGTTGTCAGGGGTCAATGTTAACAAGGAGAAGCTGCAGTTTTTAGCAAAAGAGAAAAAGGTACAGAAGTAGTTGCTGACCTTAGAACAACCCGCCAACAAACAGCTTGTGGGAAAAGGTTAATGTCCTTTAGGGGAAAATTTCTGCTACTAAAACCACTAGCTTTGTATTCAAAATCAAAACAAGTGAATGCAGTCTTATTGGAAACTGACTGGACCTGAACTTGCCATCTGATAGAGTTGACTTCACTACTCCATTGACATGAATGGGATTCAGGCAAGCAGGTACAATTAGGAATTGAAATAGGACAATTAAATAAACAGGCTTCCCATCTTCCCAGGAGCCCAGCCAAGAATGTTTGTATGATTATCAAAGGTTCCAATGTTGGAACACAGCTCCTGCTGTGGTAGCAGCAGGAAGAAGTCAGTCTGGTGCCTTCACAAAAATAAATCAATAATATACCACCTCAGACCATTTATTCTAGAGTCATCTCTAGCCCACCCCGAATTGATTTCACAAAAAGTGAAGGCTTCAATCAATGTATTAATTATATATCCATTAATTCAGAAATGGTTCACCTCATGGCAAAACAATTTAGCAACTGCATGTGTCATCATTACCATTCCAAGTCATCATGTGGTGGTTAACCTACCCCAGGTCTTCTGAACAATGCAATCAGCTTCCATATATGAGGTGGGAAGAAGGGGGATTCAGGGCCCCAAAATGTAGTGCTTGGTGCCTATAGACTATTAGCTTCTATGGCTTACATCCTCCTAAATGTTAAGGAAGTTCTGGGACAGGAAAGTTTCTCATTACAGAGCCCATATTCCTTTCTACCCTGAATCTCTGTTTTCACAGCCAGTGACATATAATGATATTGGAGCTAAACTGCTCTCAGAAAACCAAAATATTTTAATTTTACCTTCTGAAAATGTAAGGTAATGCTAAACAACAACAACAAAATATAACTGCATGTACATAATCATTTTAATTATTTCCATGCAATTTTACACACATTTTACTTATATTAGTTTAAACATAATATCTTTGGAATTCCCAAGTCATGTTACAACTTTTTAGCACTCCTCATTTTTGGAATTTGAAAGTTGGAAAATTCAGTACATCCTACCACTACAGTTTTGAATGCCAGATGCCACAATCCAAGATTGGGGAAATTATTGTTCCTTCCAGCTCTTAGAAGTTGCAGCCGTTACTGGCCTTCTCTTCACATCCTGTGCAGGCCTCCCACTATCTATACTAGAGAAGATTGCAAGGCCAGATGCTAAGCTCAGTGCATAGGCAGGAACTATGCCACTGTAGGTTTCTCCCTGAATGACTTACAGCCCTGTTTCCTAATCAGAAACCATGTTCATGTAGAAAAATGTTGGAAATCATTGCCCCAATCCAGCTAGATATACTGTACAAGAAGAATGGAAGAAAAACAACGCACTGTAATCAAATGGCTCAGGCACACAGAGCCCTTGCAAAAGGGTTAAAGGTCTGTAGCTGATCTGCTCTGGTGAGGAAAGCAGAAGGTTTCATTAAGCCCTCCCCCTTTTCCTTTCCCACCAAAGAGACTATTAGCAGGATTTAAAACTTTTTTTTGAAAGGGTTCTCAGTCCACAGGCCCAGCTGTTCATGTGCATTCCTTTTGATTGGGCATGGGTAAAATGCCATGCATGGTGATCAGCAAACATATCACTCACTGAATCTACCTATGATGTACTGTATGTGTGCATGTTTTGCAGTCACAGTGAAACAGATGTGTCTATCTTTGTTTACTTATCATACTAGGCTTTCCTACACCCAAGTGCTAGTTTTAACTAATAAAGCTAGGGAAAGTATTGTTATGAGTTGTGGGGGTGCCTAAATCCCCTTCTAATTATTGGATCCTACTTGGGATTCAATTCCTGGAATAGTCAGGCTAGCTTCCCGGTGAGGTAATGGTTCTCTGAGTATGGGCCATTAAGATAGCAAAGGAAGTGGTTCTGTGCCAGACAGCAAATGGGTGGGAACCCCTGCCTCAACTCTCTAGTAGTCAGAAAGACTAAGGCCAGAGTTGGGAGTTGTGTGCAAGGCTGCAGGCTGGGCAGGTGGTGACAGAGCCATGCCTGATTTATGCTGGAATCCAAAGCTGTGGCTATGGGAGAAGCAAGACCCTCTTGGGGTGTTGATGCAGTGAGTCTCTCCATCGTAGGCTCAGGTTGTATATATGTGTAACTAAACCATATATCCTAAAGACACCATTCTGAAGGAAGCCAAACCCTGAGTAAGTGCTTGGAATCCCTGGAATCTCGTACTGCTCAGAGATTGGGGTGACATGTAACAGTATGCTTTTTAATTTCCATCTCTTATGGAAATATCCTGTGTTAATAACAGCAATACATATTTTGACCCTCAAGGGTGATGAGCTGGTGTTATTTCATGGGTGGTGCTTTTTTTAAACACACACACAGAAACTATTAATTCCGAATTCATAGAATGAGATGGACAAGAAACAAATGCCATTCACGAGTAAATAAATTAATTGGTACTTAACCGGCAAGAGGCAGAAACCAATGACAATTTTTTATCTCCCTTCTTTACAAGTGTTTGCTTCAAAAAACACTTTTCCCCATTGCTGTTTTCTGGGCAACCTAATTTTGATGAACTGTCTTTGATCTTGCATTTTCCAACACTACACAGAATGAATAGCAAGTTGCACACTGAAGTCTTCCAACTAGTGGAAACAATATTGTGGAAAATATACTATGCAGCCAGCTATAGATTTAGAGAATGCTTTTAATATAAAATAAAGCTCATATGCTGGAAATAATTATAGATCTGTCAGTGTCTGCTCCAGCTAATAGGTGTTCCAGACAAAATACATCCCATTCTTTTTTTCTTTCTCCCTCCCACTTTCACACACATACAAATAAATACATATTCTCCCACACACGTTTACCATCTGTTCAGTTGACCCAATCCCTTCCACCATTGTGCTTCCCCTACACTTTAAAGAAAGCCTAGAGAATTGTGTGGGTATGTATTTAAGAGGAGACCACAGAGCCCATACTCCTGTCTACCCTGAATCTCTGTTTTCCCATCCAGTGACACATAACGGAGCAAATATATTGGAGCAAATCTGTTCTATCAGTGGCTGCACAGAGGAAAGCAATTGTGCAGAATACTAAACTACGAGTCCCAATATCCTGACTCTTTACCCCGTGCTTCTCTTCTCCCTCACAACTCATTTCCTCTCAGTTGCTGTCTTCCCCAGCAACTATTCAACTGTCATTCTCAGCAGACATTCGCCACCCAGCATTCCATCATGCTTCCTTGCTGTCTACTCACTCTTTTACTCACATCCACACCCATCCCAGTTTCAAACAGTCATCCAAATCTGATGTTCCACGAGAACAGACAGAGAACGTTTTTGCCAGAAACATGAGAATTGCAGTTGTGACAACCCCAAACAAATATACTCAACTAATGGAGCAATATAAGAAAAACAACAATGATTAATAGCAATGAGTCCCACAGGTTCATATTCTGTTAGCAGCACTTCTTTTGAACAATTCTTCTCCTCTTCCTAGATCTAAGGCAATCTTCAGATTCACTTCATTTCATTTTCATTATTAGACTTATTAGTCACTTGTCACCTGAAGGTCTCCAAGCAACTTACAACAACAACAACATCATCAAAATATATACAATACAATTTAGGCTGCATTCACATGACTTTTCCCTAACTGTGAAGTTCCATGTTATACCTGAGCTTTCACATGGCATGAAAGCCACTTCTGGAACTAGCGTGGAATCTAGTGCAAATGTGGGGCTCATTTCTGTGTTATTCCACTATAGTTCTGAAAATGGCTTTTACATCGTGTGAAAGCTCAAGTATAATGTGGAAATCCAACAAAAAGTTATATGAATGCAGCCAGGGATATTACAAAAAATGCTGAACTGAATTACTGTCACTGTACAAAGTTCATAATTTCTTTTAAGGAATCTGAGGCAATCATTATTTTCCCCTACTTGCAGGACCACCACTGACAATTTCTTCCCAAGGCCTTCTGAGTAGGTGTTTCTTCTGAAACAGGAATAAGGTCTACATTTAATCCCAAGGTTAACTGTCTCATGCCCAACAGAAATGGTGACTGAATATTCGCCTGCATCTCCAGGTGTAATTACAAGTGTCCATTTGCATCCACATTCAGTTGAATGGATTCTATGTTCCCTTCATCCTAGCAGGTTGCAGACTTTAAAGTAATACAGAGCACTTTGTCACAAATAGAAACAAGAGTTTCACAATCTTTCACCTTGGCTGGATTGGCAATTATTCAGACTTACAACAGGGTTTGGGTTTACCTTCACAGCTGTTTCTCCAGGGATTAACTATGTTTCAGTGGCAAAGGCCTTTCTCTGCTTCACAAGAACAAGGTCACTATTCACAGTCTCTGAATTAAATATGTCTGCAAACGCCTGTAAGAAATGAAATAAACACAGCCTTCCCCTGTGGAAAGATAGCCTCTTTACACTTGGTGGCCCAAACCAAATCATTTGTAGTATCCAACTCTTCCCAGCTTCCTAATCTTTTCCTTCAATTCATTTTCCACAGCATCCTTTGATTGTTTCATCTCAGCTATATGATCCTTTGTTTCTTTGTTAGCTTCACTTGCCTCTTTCAGAACTTTATGTAGCCCCTCTACAGCTTGCGTTAAAACTCCTTGCTTTGTGTCTCCAATTCATTAGCAGTGCTCTTTTGGAAATTTGATAACTTGATATGGGCATTTAGGTCATTGTGAAATCTCTCTTCCATACTAGCTTGCTGCCATTTGGTGTGTGTGGGGGGGTGCATCTTCACTCCCACTAAACGATCTGCCACATTTCTGCAGAATTTAATTAGATTGTGTTTGCTCCAAGATTTTACTTTCTTTCCCAGAGCGAGAAACAGAAGTTCACCTTATTGTGCCTTCAGTTCTGAATTCAACCAAATTTTCTGATTCTCTAACAATTCTTTTCTTGATTCCACTTTGGCTCATGATACTTTACTGATCTCTGAAGCTTATCCTGCTTTAACTGTATCTCCTTTAAGTCCTTCAGTTCATTTTGGTGCTCCAGTTGTTCAGCTCTTCTTTCACTTGTCAGGCCAAAGGGACCTCAAGACAAGCTGTTTATTTGGCATTGATCCTTATTTACTTACAAAAAGCTTACATGGAGGTTAGTGTTATGTATTCAGTGGTCTGTGTTTGCCCGAGCTTGAGTCTGGACTAAGGATTCTGAGCTCCTGTATTCTGATTCAATATACGTTGTCCAATCACAGAACATTTCAGGATTTTGACCTCTGCCATTGGCCCTTGAATTCTGAGTTGTGATTCGCAGTTTGGAAGTGTAGATAGCCAATCACGTTGGGAGTGGGAGTGGCCCAGGCTTTCAGTAATGTATATAAGTATTTGCTTTGCCTCTGTTTCCCAGTTATGTAGTTCAATAAAGGTTCTTGCTTTTATCATTCTGTCTTGCCTCGTGGGAACCCACATACACTTCAGTTAGACTGTATCCGGACTTTATTTAGCATTCTTTCTGATTTGTTTGTAGGGTGGTTATACAACCATGAGCATTCATCCTGATTTCCTTCAGGACTTTTATACATCTTCCTCTTTGTCATTTGTACATCATTTTCCCATCTCTTTCCAAACTGCAAAATGTCAGATATTTTTTAAGTGGATTTGTTGTGTGAGGACAGCAAAGCCCTTTAATCCACAAACATAAAGTTCCACTAATTAATAATAATAATAATAATAATAATAATAATAATAATAATAAATTTTATTTATATCCCGCTCTCCCCAGCCGAAGCCGGGCTCAGAGTGGCTAACAAAACAATAAAAATGATACAACTATGCAAGTGAATCCCTCGAACTATCCAGCGGTACCCCAAATCTCCTTTCTCTGCTTCCAATTCTTCCTTTTCTCTAGGGAGCTGAGTTTGGATGGTTGCTTTCTGATCCTGACCAGCTTCCAGCTCTCAGTTAGCAACTTCAACTGATCATTACAGTGGTAC